TATTAACTTATTCAACCTTTTCCATCTACACTCATGTAGCCCGAAGTATCGAGAGCAGTAATCCCCCCACCCCCTGGTCGTCCTACGCCTGCAGAGGGCCACAATTACGTCAAAGTACAATTTGACAAATCGCCCATCATGTCAACGTACCTGGTGGCCATGGTCGTTGGAAACTTCGACCATGTTTCCACGAAGGATGCTAATGGAGTTGATATTCGCGTCTTCACACCTCCCGGAAAAAAGGCATGCGGACAATACGCTCTAGAAGTTAGCGCAAAAACGTTACCTTTCTATGCTAGCCTTTTTGGCCACAAATTTCCTCTGCCGAAATGTGACCTTATCGCACTTCCTGACTTCGCCGCCGGTGCAATGGAAAACTGGGGTCTTATAACCTACAGGCAAGTCCGCTTTTGTTCATTACTGTCGTAAGATTGGATGTATGTTTAATATCTCGTTCAGGTCTAATAGTTTTAATCATACATTCAAGTGCAAAGCCATGCTTACACCAATTTCTCCTATAAAAATTTAAACTGATTTACGTTGACCGCAGACAATTCTCGTGAACTCCCTTCTCTACACTGCCGAAAAGGGCCTTTGTCGTAGGAACGTCCTACCAGAAAAGGCTGAAGTTAGTCGGAAACAAACTAAGTTAATTGTGGACATTTTAGAGTCTGGTGTCCCAGTTCGTCTTCAGACAAGTAGAAGCTGTATGGAAACGTCAAACTTAAATATTGTCTAAAACTTGATTTAAGATTCGGACAGAGTATAAACCAATAGGCGTCCGTTGTACCGAGTTTTCTGATCAGTATTGACTGTGTTCGCTTCCGCTTGACATTTAAGAATTGTAAGTAGCGCCCAAATCGATGTGCCTATTAATACACACCTCATCTGTGTGTATTGCTTACAGGAATGCTTGGCACTTCTTTGTTGGGCAGGTTCAAACCATGCGAGGTTTCCTTAATACAAATGTGTTTCATATGTCTAGTTTGAGCATGCATGTTTTTTGCATTATACTAAACCTCAAGGCTCATGCGTGACCTTGTCAGTTTGAACCGTCAATAATTAGAGTGCTAGTACACCGAATCATAGAAACTTATGCCGAAAAATGTCGGCTAGCAATGCTTTATTGAAAATTTAACATGTTTTTATCGAATTCACCTTGTTTTCAGGGAAACGGCCTTGCTTATCGACCAGGAGAACACGTCTCTGATGTCCAAGCAGCGCGTTGCTCTAACAGTGACCCACGAATTGGCTCATATGTGGTTTGGCAATTTAGTGACAATGGAGTGGTGGACGCATCTATGGCTGAATGAGGGATTTGCTACATGGACTGAGTATTTCGCCGTTGACCACTG